TTATTTCTTTTATCTGGAATAGTGAGGGTTTTTTTCTTTTCCTTTTTTCAGTCTTTTCCCCTTTCTGCATCCTCCTGTGGGCTCCACATTTTTTTTTTCTTCATGACTCAAAGTTTCAGATTATGAATCACCTCTTTAGACCCTCCTTGACCAACCTAAAGTTGTTTGCTGTCAAATATTCTGTAATGGCAACAATTTTTATTTTTAATTTTTTGCTTTACTTATTGATTCCATGTATTCTTAATTAGATTGTAAGTTTTATGGGTCTATGGATTTGTCTGTCTTGTTCTATGGTAAATATACACTTTCACCTAACATGTAACTGGAACATACAAAATTTATTAATAAATAAATGTTAAATAACAAATAAACGGCCAGAATGAAACTTGATTTATGGTTTCAAAGGTTTCCAGGTATTGAAGGGTAAATTACCAAGGGAAAGAAGTGTATCATTAAGTTAGCCACAGCTGTTGTCTGAGGAATAAGTAGCGTTTACGGGGAAATAAAGCAGAGCAATTTCAACTTGCCTTGGAAATCATCCAATTTCAGTAGGGTATCTGCGCTTTCCGATCACTGAGACTCACTTTCAGAATATTTTTTTTTGCTGAGGTTATATGGCATTGTTTGCATGTTCTTATTAACTGAGGCAACAATCTGATACACAATAGACATTTTATAAAACATTAATATTAATAGCAACATTTTAAAAGTCTTTTTCCCAAAATATCTTAAAATAGTTCCTGTATTGAAACTTTGCCTATAAAGTTTACTGATATGCTTATAATTGTGGACATATTTAATTTAGGTTGTAAGCTACCAAATATGGAAACAGAGTTGATTAGCTGAATTATCACTATTATGATTATTTTAAATAGATGGAATCATTAACTTGTTTCAATTATGAGTCAAATCTTAACTTGTAATATTTTACAGCCATAGCGTGCGTTAATTATTGAAGAACTCTCTCACTAAAATAGAAACTTCATTTATTCAAATGGTTGAAAATTTGGGAGGAAGTATTTAAAAAGAATTCAAAAAGGAAGGCCAAGTACTATAATAAGCATTTCCTTCCATAAAATTATAGCATTTAAAATAATCAAAAGTGATTATGTTCATGTTAAGTATATTTGAAAGTTACTTAGTAACATGACCCATTCAGAAATACATAAAGCTTGTCTTCATTGAGCTCACTGGCAACTTCAGAGAATCTAGTTTCTTAGTGTATCCATTTAGGGCAACCAATTCTTTTCTTGGTGTTATTATATCATCTAAAGATGGATGGCAATTTAGTTAGGTTAGGAAAATTCTACATCCTACATTTCAGTTATTATTTGAGACTGATCAGAAATACTGTGCGCATTTAAATATAAAACAAATTACAGTTAAAATGTTTAGTGGTCTGTATTTGGAAGAACCATTGATTTTACAACTGGGGAAGAAAATTGCTTGATGTTTTAAATTTCATGGTTTCAAATTGATATGTATCGTATATGACATTTTACTTGAACTGCAAATGGCTATACTGGATTGATTACCTTTCCAATCAGTCTTCATATCAATAATGATTAATCTATGAAGTGAAAATACTTTGAATTTAAAAGCTAAGCACTTTGAGAGTAAGAACTTTTCTTCTTAATTTTTATGTTCTCAGAACCTAACAAATTGCTTTGTGGAGCAAATAATAAATGTTTATTGAATAATTGAATCAATGAATGTATACAATATTTATAAAAGATTAATTTGACATGGTCAGAACAAAATTATCTAAAAAAAGAAAGCAGTTTGTGGTACTGTATTCTTTAGACACATACTGCATTTTAAAAGACTGTTATAGTCTATATGCTACCAAATGTAAGAGCAACTGTTTAATATGCATGTTACTGTTCTGGAGGAAAAATCTACACTTCAAATGAAGGCAATAGGCTATCCTACTTTTGGAAAATCTTGTGAAGTGACAGGAATATTAAACCAGTAATAAGGCAAGTTGAACACAGATATTATGTTCCTAATAATTAAACTCTTACTCTATCATTGTAAGAATGATTAAGAACAAATTTATTAATAAGGTTCCATTGCACTAATATGATGACAAGCATCGTATGAGAATTCTTTCTGGGACCCTATTTTTAAAAGTGGAAGCCAATGTGTAAATGCAAGGATAATTTTAAGAAAAATATTTTTGACCTCAATTAATCAATTGAGAATTCATAGCAGTAAGCCCAGTATTTCCTTCCTGAGGATTCTCAAACCTTCCAGTTGACCAAGTACTTTGAGGTTACAAAGTTCAAGGGTCTACATCATATGGAGAAGAGCAGTAAAATACATCCACTATGGTCATTATTTCATGTACTGAATAGAGCATAAATGTTTATCCATACCCTGAGAGGAATGTGCCCTCGGCTTGTTTAAACCTCTGTCAATACCGCACAAAGTTCACACACTTCCTTGAATAATTGAGACTGTGGCAGTAACACTTCCCCAGAGATAGCATCATAATAAGTAACATGAAATCTCCACCTTCAAATGAAATCTTATATAATGTCATTATGAGGAAAAAATTTCTATCTGTCCATCCATCTATATAACACTATTTACATTTGGCTGCATAATTATTTCTTGATGAGGTACAGTACTTCTGGATTCTGCTCCACCCTTCATGAACTTTAAAAAGAATCTACCAATAATTTAGGTATGCAAGACATATAATTTTACTTTCCACATTTAAACAACAATTTCCATTTATATTCTCCCATATCATGTGAGAGCAAAAAACCAGGTACAATCAATGTGGGTTTCGCCCTCTGTCCTTTTGATTCATGGCTGGTACTGATGTCATCAGAACACACTGGATTCTGCTGAGATAGCACTGTGTGGCCTGGACTTTCTCATTACATCACAGAGAGGGCAGCATGCAGGATTCCTTTGGACTTAAATGCAGGAGAAAATTCACTTTGCACTTTTCACTTTATGCTAAAGAAACAGCACAGAAATAGTTACCAGAAAGCAACTCATGATTTAAAAAACGAATTACTCTGCAGCTTTTTAAAGCATATACTTTAATATGCATCCAATGTGTACTCAATTATGAAGAACCAGCTATGTTCTCCCTGATCGGTGACAACTGACTGAACACCAAAGAGGAAACCTGTTGAAGTGAAATGGACACTATGGGAAACGGTGACTTGATCAGCATAGCCCTGACTGTTAATGAACAACTTAATACATTATCCCTCTTAGTAGTTTTTTTGTCTGTTCTACTTAATATGACTGGTTTAATTCTGTAATTAATACACAGTTATTCTTAAGTGTTGAAAATTAACTGAAATGTGATCCCTGTTAAACATAAGAGTGGGAATAAGAGAGGGAAGAGATGTACAATTTGGGGCATGCTCAAGCTGACTTGCCCCAAATGGTAGAGTTAGAAACATACCAGGGGATTCCAATTCAATCCCATCAAGGTGGCATGTACCAATGCCATCTCACTACTCCAAGTGATCAATTTCAGTTCACAATTGATCATAATGAAAGGACTAACAGTCAAAGGGAGCACATAAACAAGTCTAGTACCTGCTAACACTAACCGATAGAATAAATAAAGGGGAGAGTGATCCAACATGGGAAGTGAGATACTCAGCAGACTCATAGAATGGCAGATGTCCTAAATAGCACTCTGGCCTCAGAATCAGCCCTAAAGGCATTCGGATCTGGCTGAAAAGCCCATGAGAGTATTTCAGGCATGGAAAGCCAAGACACTCTGGCAAAAGATCTCTGTGAGTGAGATCCCAGTGGAAAGAACAGGTCTTCAAAGAAGGAGGTACCTTTCTCTGAAGGGAGGAGAGAACCTCCACTTTGACTATGACCTTGTCTAAACAAGATAAGAATCGGAGAACTCAGAGGGCTTCCATAGCCTTGGAAACTCATGACTGGAGCATAGGGAGATTACTGATGCCATAGACAGGAGTGTCAATTGGTAAAGTCAACAACAGGAGTCACTGTGCACTTACTCCTCATGTAGGATCTCTGTCTTTAATGTGCTGTGTATTGAGATTTAATGCTATAACGAGTACTCAAACAATATATTTCACTTTGTGTTTCTATGGAGGTGCAAACTGTTGAAATCTTTACTTAATGCATACTAAACTGATCTTCTGTAAAAAAAAAAAAAAAAAAAGAAAGAAATTATCAATTATCAATTCCCAACTTGACTCTCACTGGGATTAAACATGACAATAGGTCTGATCTGATTTCATCATCATTTTAAAAAAATCATCTATTATTTTCCACTTTATGTTTCTGTGTGGGAGCAAACTGTTGAAATCCTTACTTAATGTATACTAAGCTGATCTTCTGTATATTAAGATAATCGAAAATGAATCTTGATGTGAATGGAAGGGGAGAGGGATTGGGAAAGGGGAGGGTTGTGGGTGGGAGGGACGGTATGGGGGGGAAGCCATTGTAATCCATAAGTCGTACTTTGGAAATTTATATTCATTAAATAAAAGTTAAAAAAAAAACTTTACAGATCATTTTACAAATAGGATATTATGTAGATAGCTATAGTACAAGATAATTAGAGAAGCTCTTCTGGGTCGAGTCCTGGATTGAAGATAGTTCTCTGAATAGAGATTTACTGTGTTATATCTACTCTGAATTTTCTATATTTCCTTTGTAATCACTCAAGAATCCAAATAATTATAGGAAAACATTTTGAGAAATTACTTATCTATTATAAATGCTTTCATTTGAATAGTATTACTAGCAAAAATTACTAGAATTCTAAGCTAGGATTTACTTTTTCTTCTTTCTAAAATAATAATTCAGATGAAATTACATTGTAAAAGAAAGATTCTGACTAAACTTCAATAGTTTTGAATTGTCCATACATGATCATTTTCAATGCAGTTTAATTTAACAGTATAATATGTCTTAGCAGCCTATTTTGACAAAACATTGATGGTTTCACTTTTGTTGATACTAAAGAAGACATATAGCATGGCAATTAACGCAAGTTTCTGGAAACAGGTAACATTGTCATTGATTGTGAGACACTGCAGTTGTTACCAAGTCAGGACCTTCACATCTTTATTTTTTCAATGCAGGTAGTAAGAGTACCCATTGCATAGGGTTACTGTTCATATCATGTAATGTACTGTATGTGGCTAACATGTACAAAATTCTTAATAAAACTTAGAAATCATTTGTCTATCAAACATTTTAAGTTTTTAATGCAAGTGTAGAGCTTTTTCATAGTAATGGGTCAGAGGTCTAATTATGATATGAATGTGTCCAGAAACAGATTTGCAAAACTGTTCATTCAGTACTATGCCACTATTCTTGTGGTTGCATTCAATGCGGTTCTGAAAACATCAGTCCTTTAGTTGAGGAACCAGATTCTATAATTGTCATTAGCATTGCTGTGCAATTTGGATCTCATAACTTCAAATTTTTACTGAATGTATTAAATATTTAAAACACTACAAATTAGAAAAATCTGTTTATTAACCACTCAACAAAGGTCAGCTAATATTATCATTATGTTATTTTCAACATCAATATATTTCCTTACTACCTAGTAGTATCCATTCTGTACTGAGTGAGATTTTGAAAAAAAAAATCTATATATCTGAGTAGGGCTTAAAAATCTTTAGTAAAATATGCTTTGAATGTCTCAAGTAAGTTCAATATAAAGATTCAGAAATAAAACTCAAATTCTTTAGTACTTGTCTGTAGTAGGTGAAGAAATATTAAATATTTACAAAGCTTTGCTGAATTAATGAATGATAGATGTGTAACTAAATGAATTAATCAATATAAGACAAAAGCAAGCCCAGGGAAAAGGGGAAAAGGCATAACAGCATACAAAGAATTCATGCAGAAATGCATACACATTCAATAAAATATGAAATAATTTTAATAAGCTCAGCAATCCAGTGGCTTACTGCTGATCTTGTCAATTTGGCATGAGTTTGCCTACCATGGACCAGAGTCCAGAGAATGAAGATTTGATAACACCCAAATGGAACTAATTTAGGTATCAGAAGTTTATATCCAAGTTTAGGTTCTTATTTTTATTATAAATGTACAAAAAGGAATTTGACTTTGAAAGTACTTACTAGGGAAGTATCACGCAAGAAAAAAACACAAATTCTAGGAACTGAGCCAGGCTCTGATTTCTTCTGTCCCTGGAGTGTTTTATTTAAGGAAACCATTGATTTCTGCCACTACTCAGAAGAAACTCATGTGTGAAAGTGGCCAAGAAATCTGCCTCCAATTCGGTTTTCTAGGATCCCTTCCAAGGGGAGATCAACTTCTTTTAGATTAGCACATGAGCAGCTTTGCTGAAAGTAGCCTTTTATGCTTGACGCTCAATTTTTGTCTAACATGTTGAAAGGAAGGGGAAAAAGCCCACTGTGATCGTTTCATGAAGCTTAGAAACTTCAGTTTGCTTCTTTTTAATATGTAAGAAAAAGAAAAACACTACTACAATCAAATGAAGTTTTTCTAAAAGAACTGTCAACAGCTTACTATTTGCCTGAGGCTTCCTTGAGTGCATTTCATATGAGATACTAAAGTTCAATTAGAAACATCTAGCTTCATGTCTTATTTGAAGAAAACTGCAAAATCACTAGCAAATTTTTATTAATGAGTAAACTCACTTTCAAAGTAGGTCAATAGAAAATCCCACACCTGACAGCCTAAGATAATGGAACATATGAATGCTTCCCAGTAAACTAGAGCTTTTGCTTTTAATGCATGTAGACAGAATATTGTATTCTCAGAATTGGCCTCAGACTCATACATAAAACATTGGAGAGCAAAGTGGCATAAGCAGAGCATGCTTGATGTTCTTGCCAGGAGTAATCCTGTATTAGCAGAGAGAGAGAAAGTAAACTATGATGACGTGTACTGTTAATAAACCGAGAAGTTACATAGATGCATTTTGAATAAGAAGCTTATTATTTTTAGAAGCATGATGGAAAGTAGAATTGAAAATATAGACATAATATGACCTTGAGAACCTCATACTTTCTATATCATGAGGTGTAAAGACTGTATAGTTAAAGAAAAAAGTGAATTTACCTATGATTTCCTGTACAAACTGACTTTGTGGTTCCCAGTGTGCTCCACTGCCACCCCCCTCAAGGCCTACCACCGAACAGCACACTCCCAGCCCCCAAGTGGACTTACTGATCATAAACACCAGTATCCTTTCTTTACCCGTGTGACACTTCTGGTCATATGCAGCCTATTACAGTTCTGTTTATTCTATCTTTCCACTTTTTGTGTCTTTAAATTAGATTTTAACAGCAAATTAATGGTAGATTCCATTAGAAAATTAAATAAGTAGGGAAAGACACTCCTGTTCTCTGTAAGCCCTCCTGTATTTCAAAGGTAATTCCTGTATTTTTAAATCTTATTGCATTTATTCTATATTTCTACCTATATCCTTTTTTTAAGCAAAGTAAGATTTATTAAAGTCAGAAACCTCCTGCTGCAATGTCAGGAGTGGGGCTCCAAGGAAGACTGAGAAATTTTTCAAAGTAGGATCTTTTAAGCACAATTCAGGGGAGGAACAGGATAACCGCTATCAATCAATCAAGAAGGCAGTGACAAAACCCATCAGAGGGCCAGAATTGTAATCCTGTCTATCCTGCTCAAGATAAAACAAACAAACAAAAAACATCAGATGGGTGCATTGGTAATTTAGTCTTTCTAGTCTCATGATAAAATTGGAAACTCAGAAGGGGGAGATTTGTATTTTGTCTTGCTGAAGGCTGCTTCAGGGACTTGACCTAACTGCCTATTAGTCCATCTATTATGTCATCACACACACACCCCACATGAATGTTGTTATGATATTGGTATGAAAACTGCTCTGGCTGCAAGGGGATTCATTGAGAGACAGCAGCAGGTCATTCTTCTGACAGTCAATCAAAGGGTCCTTGGTAGAATGCACATTTCCTCTGGGGCATCATCTGGACTACAGCCTGAAATGTGATGGCTTCTTAGTTGTTTAGTCCTGAGAGAACACAAAATTTTGTTACATAGGTTAGTTACAAAACATGGAAAAACCTTGATTGAAAAGCATTAGCACGTGATAGATAACCTATCATTTAGGACAGTTAAAAGAGCACAAAGAATTTTAACCCATAGTTATTTTAAAGTAGTTTTTGAATTTTGAAAATGTTAAAGCAATGTTTTTTGAATGCAGGTAGGAAACAGGTCAATGATTTTACACAATTCTACTTTACCAATGCATTGCAAACTCTAGGAGTCTTAGGAAAATATTTAACCTAGAAGACAAGACTTTAAGCATAGAACCAACAATGCTTTGTTACAAGACATACAGATTTAAATTATTCCTGATTATAATACCAACTGAAAAGTTTATAGCATCTAGTGATCAATTAGATATCTCTATAGTGTAAAAGACATATGTTGGTGATTGGAGAACAGAGGAAATTTACATAGGTGGACAGAGAAACTTTTATAATTTAGCAAGCAAGAAAATGTGAACTCTGAATCAGAGTGGCCAGGATGCCGCCTGCCTACCCCTGACCCCCCTGTTATTCTAGGAAATAAACTTAAGAGGGAGATTGAAAACATGCCCTGCAAGGAGTCTGGTCAGTGATAAAAAAAAAAAGATAAAATAAAATAAAAACCAGCAGCTTAAACAAACTCTGTTATCATGAGTTCTTGCTACTGTCTTCTTCACAGTAGTGATTAAAGAGGTAGGGAACAATACGATGCATGGCATCCTTTAATAGGAAGGGCCAAGTGAGATGAGGTGTTGGGCATTGGCTACTGAGTGCAGATGCAATAACCCCTCCCCTCCCCAAACCACCACCAGGAACACACATGCTTCCCAACATTTGAAACAAAGGAGTACAGTGAACAGATCCTGGGCAGATCAGGCAAGACAAGGTCACACCTAGTAGCGCATTTGAGAGAAAGTAAGTTGGTCTATGCCTCTTTTAAGATACTCCTTCCTGCTTGAATGTGGCCAAGAGACTGGCTGGAAGAGAGGTTTTGTCTTCTTATTAGACAGAATTCAGATGTGAGGAGAGTAGCAGTAAGAAATATAGCAAGGTATAGGGATTAGGAAGCACAATATGTATGGGCCCCACTGCCTCATTAATGAGGCAGATATCCTGTACTCATCTCCCTTCTCCATTTGGCTTTTGAACCCATGCAATTGGAGTGTTGCAAAGACTATGGCATAGCTTTAAAAGTCCCTGCCCCTTGAGATTGACCACTATGACTCTTAGTCCTTTCTGCATCTCAGGTTTTAATAGATATTGTCTCTGAGGGGAAATGTGGCCAGGCCTAAGATGAACCTGGATCGGCTACTGAGTCCTTTTAAATGTTAAACAGATATAACAATTTTTATGTATTCATTTCCAAAATCATCATCGACATCCCTTAACTCTGCCTGTCCAGCCAAATCCTTCAGAAAAGTAAGACAACTTTGAGAAAATCAACAAGCAAATAATGAATGTCACATATTGATATTATGGACAGCCAGTTACCACACTACAGTTACCAACCCTTTATTTATGCACACACCTGCTTCTTAAGTAATTTCTTTATTTGTTATTTGCATGGTTTCAAATTACCAATTTTTTTTTCTTTTGGATGCTCTTTATCAGATCTACCATACGACTGTCAGAGATGACACTCTGCCATTCGCCTGTATTTGGCAAATGATTTCTAAATATCCATTTCCTCTTTCTTGTGTTATTTCATTTTACTGAAATAAAATGCTGGAACTTTTTGTCTATTAGCCTTTAAATCAAAGAATGCACAGAAAGTGACAGTCTTAACGACATCTGTATGTATATTTATTCAACCCTCAGACTTAATTCTGTACTTTATTATACACAAAGTGTGAATCATTTTTCCTCAGATTTGAAGGCATTGCTCCATTGATTTCTAGGATGCTTTATTGCTGTTAAAAAGGCTTATATCTTTCAGATATTTATTTACTCGAAGGTAGTATTTTTAATTTCTATTTCTTGAAAAACTTCTATTTTTACTTTTCTGAAATTCCAGGTACATGCTAAGATCTTAGCCCACTCAGCCTGCTCTACAAAACTATTATATAACTAGTAGTTTCTCAGCAGAAGAAGTGTATTTCTCACAGTTCTGGAGACTGGGGAGCCCAATATGTAGGCACTGGCTAATCTGGTGACTGGTAAGGCTGTTGCTTAGTTCATAGGTGGCACTTCTCACTGTGTCCGCACATGTTGAAAAGAGAGGAGAGGTCTCGCTGAGGGCATCCTCTACCACCATGGCCTAATCACTCCCCAAAGACCTCACACCACTTTATTTTTATGATTTACTTTATTTTTTATTATGGAAATTTCAAATATTGCAAAAATAGAGGTCATAAAATACACTGAACTCCTATAAACATATCACCATTACAAAAGTCTATAGTTCTCTTTTGATCAATATCACTGATGAACATGGATGGTGGAGAGTTTAACTTTGTCCATCGTGTCATCTGAAAAGATGGATATTTTGTTTTTTTTTTAACTTTTATTTAATAAATATAAATTTCCAAATTACAGCTTATGGATTACAATGACTAAGATGGATATTTTGACTTCCCCTTCCCAATGTTGATGTTCCTTTTTCTTTCTCCTCCCTGAATTTCCTTGTTAATACTGACAATAATGAATATGAGTGGTGAAAGTGAATGTCCTTGTCATGTTCAGTTTCTCAGGGGAGATGTTTCCAGTTTTTCTCCATTCAGTATGAAAATTGCTGTGAACAAATAAATAAATAGGCCTTATAATTTTGAGTTATATCCCTTCTGTACCTAATTTCTGAGGGTTTTTATCATGAAGGGATGCTGGGTCTTATCAAATGCTTTCTTTACATCTATTGAGGTGACCGTATGGTTTTTGTTTTTTTTCTGTTTTGTTCTTAATGCTTTCTAGCTTCTTAGTGAATGCTTCATTGATGTCACCTATTGTTTTCTTTATTTTTTAATCTGTCTATCCATATTCCTTTTTTTTTTTCCACATTGAGTTTTTCCTCACCATCCTTAAATGAATTGTGTTTCTGGTGTTTCATAGATTTTCTTTATATCACCATACACTTCTGTAGAACTGGTGTATTCTTTTGGAGTTACCATGCTACATTGCTGCTGCTTCATTTTTTCCTGTGTCCCTACATTGACATCTGCACATCTGATATAATGGTCCTTTCTATATGGAGTAGCTGTTTTTTAAAAGGAGGTTTTTTTTTTTTTTTTCATTGAATGCAGGGTATCATTTGTCTTTGTTGCTTTGGCTTCGGTTCTAGGTGAGCCCAGAATGTAACCTCTGAGCTCATTCTTTTGCCTTAATCAATGTCACGTATGTACATAAGTAATACTTTAGCATTCCCTAGGGGCCTCAGTGTGACTTTGATGTGAATATGGGCCTCCCAGGATGTGTATCTACAGTCCTCAGAGTTGGGTGTCAGTTACACTAGGGATTGTGATAGCTGGGATCCTTGTTCTTGAGCTCAGTGATCAAAGGGTGAGTGACTCTGGGGCTTGTGGTATCTTCAAGCCTGAGTGAAACCTTATGGTACCAAAAACAGCTGTGGTTCTATCAGGTAGATGGCAGCTTTCTTAGTTGTTCCTGGGACAGTATGACTGGTACTAAGGCTTCTAACACTACAAGCCCTAGTCAAGAATTGGGGGATGTGAACTGAAGCCTGCAACTGTACTACCAAATTGTTATTGTTTACCTTAAGCCACAAATTAATATTTTGGGTTCTTGTCATTTACATAGATAAGACTTCTAAACACTAGCCCATAGGAGACATACAACATGGTAAAGTTCAGGATTTACTTGGAAAGTGAGAGAAGTACACAGGAGCATGAGGGCTTTATTAAGGGAAAATGGGTTGGAAAAATTAAATGGGGAATTCCATACCAATCCAGAGACTGCAAGCAAGAGAGGGCAAGCGGTCGGGAGAGTGGTGAGCAGTATGCGAAAGCGGGCACCAGAACCAGCGAAACAGGAGTCCAGCTCAGCACGCTCCAGCCTCTTATCCACTTCCAAAAGGGGAGTGGTTATGTAGTCTGCTTGACAGGTGGGTGGAAATAGGTGAGATCACATAGGGAGCAGTGGGTATCATCTCCAGCTCATGGGCCTAAGCCAATCTCCCTGATTGGTCCCATATCAAAGTGACTACAAGTAACATAGGAGATTTTGCACTGGCTGGTATGCACTCTGAAGAGGTGGGATGCTGGCAGCTTCTTTCCTCGGTGTCACTGGGTAGATACCAGTGGGTTTCAGGAACTTAGTAATGATTTTTATAGTCCTGGTGTTGCAGGATAAGGTGGGGCCATTATTCAAATCTCCCTGGATGGGATCCTGGTGTTTGGGATGGTGGTAGCCATTTGTCCAAACATAATTCTGTGATAGAGCACTCCAGATACCGTGGGCGAGTGTGAGCTACTCCAAAGATTGTAATACATCCATGGTCCCTTTTCACAAGGCAGAGATGTACCGGCCTACTGCTCTCATGTAGCAGGCAAGGGTGATGCTGGACTTTATGCCTAGGGCTCCCTGCACTATGAGATAGGAGGTGCAGGTGCAGGTGCCTCAGGTGAAGTCCAGATGTTGTAATGGGCTGCTGCTTGTGCAAGCCCCGAGAAGCTGAGGGGAACTCCTGGATCACATAGAGTGAGTGAGCACAGGTCTAATGCATATTCTCAGGACTCCCACAGTTGCAGGATGCAGGGCGATCAGCTCTCTACCCTGTAAAATTACCCTTACTCTGGCCCTAGTAACTTCTGGTAGCAATGTGATGGTGTGCCAGCTGTTGAATAAGAGCAACCAGGATTCTAACACACCCAATTGAGACTGGCACTTTGGGAGGGTAGAGAGGAGAAGGAAGTCTTTTATACTGATTTGTTTTTAATTTAAGAACTGTGTATTTCTGAAAATTTTCATTTAGTATTTTGGACCATAATTGATTGTGGATAACTGAAACTGCATAGAACAAATGGATAAA